TAATTTGTTAATTTGTTTAAAACCTTATTAAAAGCAAACTGCAAAAACACGTTCGGAAATGAATCATAAATGCATAAATACATAAAAAATGTTTGCGAACTGCAAAAAAGAACTTTCGGAATGCATCACCTAAAAAGTCATTTTAACTGGGACCGTTGATAACAGATGAACATACATGAACATATGTATATATACATATGTATGGATGATATAATAGCTCTGATCTAATACTTTTCGTGTAAAATCCTGTAAAAATGTTAAGCAGCAAAATATCTCTCTGAAGTGAGGATTAAAAGCGAGTAACAGCAAAAAGTACGGGAACAAAAAAAGCATAGGGTAAAATCTTGCAACTTCATTCTCTACACAACTCTCCAAAAATCGTACTCAGTTACATGATTTTGGAGTACGTGATCATTTTTCCTGTAACTTCCTGCAAGTTCGTGTAAAAACCTGTAAGTTCATTGAGTGCTGGAGCAGAGCTAATACAAGATTTCACAAAGAGAAGACGAGAGTAAGAGGACATGCCAAGCAAATGAATTTAGCTTCCCATTTTGCTAACAAAAGATAGTATGTTATATGTATTCATGACTTTTACGTAAACCTAGTGACAAATGAAGCAGAACCGCAGATTATATACCTAAAAGAAAAACTAAAGTTGGGAATATATACAAAGAGAAATGCTCAAACTACAAACTCAAAAACAATAATTAATGCGGTGTTTTCAAGATATTTTAACGCCCTTGAGTCACAAGTATATACAAGTATCATATTTTATCAATCATACCTAATGTTACCAACTATTTCATAGCTCAAAGAAGTACAGGTTAAGTCACTCGTTACTTGCACTGCCAAAAGTATTTTAAAGTCCCTTATAAAAACATTTGCTTCAGCGGAGAAACATCTTCTTTTCCTCTTTTATGTCACAAAAGGAGCATCGCTTTCTTTTGTCCATTTTATTAGGTATTTAGTAAGGTATACAATTTGATTATCGCGAGTACGAAGCTCACACTAGGCCCAACCATCTCAGAGTGTACCGAAGGAGGACAGAGGCGTATCTAGTTGCTCCTTATCTGGGGATAACGTTTTAAGTGTGCCTTTCCAACGCCAGGTCATCAGAGCACCTAAACTAGAAGAAGTACCTAAGAAGTACTCTGACGCGATGGATGATAAAGAAGTCAGATATTCCTTTACCGATTTCTAATGCACCAACAAACCCTTTCGCAGTGAGTCTGCCGCTTCCTTGATGACAGATATTTCTACTTGAAAGACAATGCAGAAGTCCGGAAGCCTTGGTAACCCCGCCCTACCCAGTCCTGCTTCTGGGAGGCATTTCGGAGACGATGTAATCTATGTATTCAGGGCGAAGTCAACCCTTTTAACCCTTTCCTCAATGTGAAGCTTCCACGACAGCTTCCTATCCAGGATCAAGCCTAAGTACTTCACTCTGTCGGAGAGCCGCAGATGAACACCCCACTCGAGGGATGGCCCACAACGGGTATCCTGTACTTCTTGGTAACCAAGACCAGTTCCGTTTTTCTGGGATTTACTGCGAGGCCGCCGTTGATCGGACACCTAGTTACCTGTATCAGGTAACCTTGAGGCATAAAAAAAGGTGTATAGAAATCGTCCATTAACCAAAATATCCACATAATCTACATAGACGATCACCCAACATCCCACTTTTTCCAGTTCCTCTAGAAGGTAGTTTTGCAACCGCAATGCAGAGCGGGGGAGGGAGAATACCACCTTGCGGAGTGTCCCTATTATCTCTGCGCTGAGTGCAGGCGCTCCTCCCCCACTCCGCCGCGACAGTTCTGTTACAAAGTAAGCTGTAGATAAGCCTTATTAGGTTGGTTTCAACCCCCAGGTTATGAATATACTTGACTATTGCCTCCGGAGTGATATAGTTGAAGACCCACTCGATATCGAGAAGGCCCCTACTGCGTGAACTTCCACTGACCACTTTAGCAATGTGTGCAGGGTGGTATCTACCGACCTTGCAAGAAGCATGTTGAGCTTTTGAAATATAGTCTATCCATCTCTCTAGCGGTTGTAGCAAAAACGAAGACAGACTGATAGGCCTAAAATCCCTAAGAGAAACGTGAAAGCTTCCTCCGGCCCTCGGGATGAATGCAACACTGACTACCCTCCAAGCCTTGGGGATGCACCCGGTGCTCACGCCGTTCGCACGTATGATGCCATCGGTCCTCGGAGACTTTAATAGTTTGAACGAATTCATCGTCCAGGCCATGTGACGATCGTCCAGAAGATCGGAGAACTACAGGACCTGAAGTACAATATTGCAAAGAAGTACATTTGACTGTACTTCGAAGTACGAAGTACAAGAGCTAAAAAAGAAGTACTGTACTTCCGAAAGAAGTACGGTTGGTCACATTAATCATACCGATAATTTCAGGTATTAAAAGAATTAAATATGAAAATGAATAAAAAAAGATTTAAATCAGCAAAATTAATAAAATGAAGTGAAATTAATGTTTAATTTATAATCTAACCTAGATTAGCCATACAAAATTATAATTATAAAATAATCTCAGATTAAACCGATAACTTTTTGGTGTCCAACCTAGTTTTATCGATTATATTTGCGAAGAAGAGAAGGAATGTCAAATGTAAAAGTAAACAAAAATTTACGCTAGCAAGGAAAAGAGGTTTGTAAAGGTATTTTTAATAAAATATTAAGTTAAAATATATTTTAATAGCATAATATGTATAGCAAAAAAGTGACCATGGTGGCATAGAGAAGAAGCTTAACTTTTCCTCAAATTGTGAGAATAACAACACACCCAATTTGTACCTAGTACTCACGCTTTTTTTTAAACTTGGTTCATTTTTTTTTGGTAAAAAGCTTTAAGTCAATCAAAGGTACAGTAATTTTTTTTTATGAAAGTAAAGTTGGATGTTTAGCGCAAATAATGCTTTTTGAATTCTATTCCTAGGTATAGGAGAAGTTGGTAAAAGAAATTAAATTGATTAAAACAATACAATTTTTTATACAACAAGAATCGAAATTTTAAAAACTGACCACTTTATTTTGGTGCCCAATAAGTTCTCTAATTGCTGTCAAAAAATAATAAGATTCGAATGAATGGTTGCTGAAATATTTCAAAAAGTGTAAAAGCCTGCATAAAAATTTGTTTGCAAATAACTCGTAAAAAAATAAAATTAGCGCAAAATCTTTGGTGTCAATATTGCACACCATGTTAACTTTCAAAATCGGTCAATGAAATATGAAGAATCGAAAAGTCAACTTTGGGTGGCACACTTGAGAAAACTTGACTCACTACAAGTAAGAAGAGAAAAACTATGAACTACATAGTTTGATTATATGAAAAATCTGTACTTTGAATATTTGACTGTTTTCTCCTTTCGAGTTTTTAACTCACAAAACTTCAGTCTTTATAGTTGTAGTAACATTGAACCACAAGATGCATTTTGAAGTTTTCTGGCAGCATTTTTATTCGATTTTCGCGAAGAAAAGCCTTGAATGTACTACACGTGTGCTCGACGTGAGTTGATACAAGTGGCACCCAATTTAAATATGGACCGTTTAGAACTTTAATATTATCAGGAATAAGGGCTTTTCCTCGCTATAATCACTTTTTTAAAGGTAGAAAGGGCAAAAAAAGGTAAATATCATAAAAAAGGCAAAAAAGGCCACATCAAATATGTATATATGGAATCAGGGAAAGCTAAATCGTGGACATTCTTAATCGAATATACGCTATCTCTTTAGCAGAAAAAAGGCAATTTCCGTAAAATCCGTTTTCTGCTCATAAGACAAGAAACGGTGTCTAAGGACAACCACTCGAATGTTAGAAGAAAACGCATTTCCAATATGTAATTTAAGCTCTTTTGCGGTTTTAATAACGCTACTTGTGTGTGCATGTATGTACATAAGTAGTCAATCTGGCACGATTTAATAAGGGGAATATCGAAAAATCTAACGGCCTTTGAAAAAATACTAATCGATTCAGAAAAATGTCCTGAATAAGATATCCAAACAGGACCATCGAAAATAACCGGTGTATTATTTAAATTAATGAAATACTACCAAATGTTGTCCAGCTCAACGCCAAGAACTCTGACTGCGGCATATCAATGTATTAATCAAAAAGATCAAAAATACTACGTTGTAGACGAGGGAATTCTTTACATACATAGGGTTCGAACGATACTATCGATATTGAGTAAGTATCGATACTGAGGGTATAAAAATGAGTACTTTAATACTCGATACCTTATTTGGTGATTTTACTCGATACTTTGCAAAGTACTCGTAGCATCGAATACTTATTAAAAAACACACTTTTTAAATTTTTTCTTCCATTAGCAACCCAATTTTCTTTGCTTATATGGATTCTAGCATTCAATTTTGTCCATCACTTAAAATAAACTGAAATTGCGTGTAGTCTGTTGCATAACATAAACCAAATAAGTAAAAGTTTAATGGCCTTATTCATAAAAAATAAAGTAGGTTTAAAGAGCTTAATAAAATGACATTTTCATACATTTTTCAGTTTATATACCTTTTTTATATTTTATGAAAAAGGCGATAAAACTTTACGCAAAGTTCACGAAAATGCAGAATTTTTAGAAACTTTTTGGGTATGCGGTTTTGTAACCTATTCAAGTTTACGTGTAGCCTTCTACCGTTGACTTTTAATTCAAACTTCCACATTATTATACTAAAACTAGCTGACCCGGCAAACGTTGTTCTGCCATATAAATTATTTCTAGTGAATATCTTGGTTGTCAAATAAAAAATAATGAATGTATTGTAAGTGTGTTTGAATGTTTTAACGATCGCTAAAAGATCAGGCTGAGATATCAAAGAAATCGTAAGTGAAATATTAAATTTCAAGCTGAAAGTGTGCTGTTGTTGTATGTCGCAGTCCTATTTTAGGAATTTTTCGGACTCGATTACGGATGCAGCTATACCGGGACGGTAACGACGACAGTGGAGATAACTTATTCGCCGTTGAGGACAGATTCCACGTGGATGTCGGGCAAATACGTGAAGGTTTGACCGTGTTTGGGGTTGCGCTGTGGGAAAATGGTATTCCCGAGCCCGAGTATGAGGACGGTCCATTCTTTGATGAAGATCAAACGGATATGTGGGGATGGGATCAATAGCAGAAAGAGGAATGGACCGCCGATAAAAATAAAAAAAACACCAACCATTCATTTTCTCAATTCAATGTATTTCATTAACGTAACTGACATATTCATTGTTTGATCTCTTAAATGTTAAATGTAAAGTAAAAAATGTAATATATATTTTTTTATCATAAAGTAGAAAAAATTAAATAAAGAAAACCCATATTAATTTCGAAGGGCAATTGAGTGTACGATATTTTTTGTCAGTCCGTCTTTAGCCAACACAAATAAGCTCGATGGTTTGCCCACTCGAGAACATGCCACGTATAATTGTCCATGTGAAAAACATGCTGTGCCCAAATCTAAGCCGCAAACGGACATGGTTTGCCCTTGCGACTTATTGATTGTCATTGCGAATGCCAATCTAATAGGAAATTGGACGCGTTTGAATTCAACTGGCACGTCTGTGGGAATTATTGGAATGCGTGGCAGCAAAACATTTTCGCCTTGGAATTTGCCATTCAAAATGGTGGCTTCGATTATGTTTTTCATCAATTTTTTAATGACCAATCTCGTGCCATTGCACAACCGTGGTGGGTTCAAATTCCGAAGTAAAATAACCGGAGAACCAACTTTCAGTCGTAGAAGGTGTGGTGGCATGCCTGGCAAATCCAGTGAGTTCAAAAACTCTGTTGGATAATTTACAGCTTCGTTGGCATCGCAAACTGTATCGATCGATTTGTAAGATACCAATTCGCCTCTCAACGACTGCTGTATCTTGAAGTTTAAATCGTCGACGTCCACATTTTTTGCTGCCAAAATGGCTCTTTCTGCCAGCCACGCGTGATTTATGTATTGTGTGCGTACATCGGGGAATATGCGGTCAATGAGAGCATTTTGAGAATCAACGATTGTGCAGAAATCGGTGAACAATTTTATGCAGCCAGTATTTTCATGGACAGTAACTTTTCCATCGCCGATATCTAACAATTGTTTCGAGAATGTGTCAGCGGATGGATCTTGCAGCATTTGGACGCGCATGTTTATTTTTAGCTGGACTTTTTCAACATTACGCCACAGTGGTGATGATTTAAAGCAAGCGTTGATCTCATCGGCGTACGTTGAACGTGGAATGACGGGAAGTGTTTGTCTGAAATCACCCGAAAGGAATAACAGAGTGCCGCCGAATAGTTTGTCGTTGTTTTTTATATCTTTGAGTGTTCGGTTCCACGCCTCAAGAGAATGTTTGTGTGCCATAGTGCATTCATCCCAGATGATAATTTTGCATTGTTTTAGCACTGTGGCCATTGACGATTGTTTTTTTATATTGCACATTGCGTCCGGGTTATTTTGAATATTCAGAGGTAGCTTAAATGCTGAATGAGCTGTTCTGCCTCCATCCAATAAAGTTGCTGCAATGCCAGATGATGCAACGGCCAATGCGATGCCATTATTTGATCGTATTTCGGCGAGAATTAGCGAAATGAGAAATATTTTGCCAGTTCCCCCTGGTGCATCCAAAAAAAAGAATCCACCTTGTCCTGCCGAAACTGATAGCATAATGCGGTCGTAAATGATTTTTTGTTCATGAGTCAGTAGTGGGACATTGCGAGTAACAATCGCTGCCATTTCTGCAGTATTGTACTCCAGTTCACGATTCATTTCGACGTTGATTAAATCAGATCCACTTCGATTTGGCGAACGCATACCGAATTGACTGAGTGGTAAATTGGCAATGACAACGCAAAGATCCTCGATAGCAATCAATGCTTCATTGTACATAGCATCGCTGAATGTAATCGTTAGATCGTTGCACCGTGTACGAATTCGATGCAATATATCGTCAGTCATTGAATCTTTGTGTTTATCCCACAACGCGTCTGCTCGTCCCGGGAAACATGTAGTCAACACTATAGCGAATAGTAGACGAATTTGTGTTGTTGTACTACCCAATGCTGCTTCTGCAAGCATATCGTCCCAGTGATTGTCGTCTTCGAGCAAGCCGAGTGCAAGGCATGCATCTTTATACGTTGGATACTGTTGTCCATTCACGTTACGTATATCTTGAAATGACAATGGTCCGATGACATTAACCAACAACAGTCGCAGATAGAAGCACTCAGTCTGCCTTGGATTGACTGTATATACTCGACCCAAAGTATTTGATTTGAAAAGGCCGGGGCATGCATCAATTGGTGTGCCTTTCTTGCGGGGAATCCATTTTTTTGTTTGATTCCATGTAAAAAAACGTGGTACTTCGGAATATAGTAGTGTTCGTGCAAAGGCACCGAAAGCATCCGGACGATTACACAATTCGAAAAATTCGGTGAGTGTAGTTTTTGGTGGATTCATGGCACGCTCAATTGCTGTCTCGTTGGTAAAAAATACGCGCTGGCCGTTTTCAAGGTGGACGGCTAAATGTATAACTGCTGGGTCCCGTTCATGAATTGGGAAACCAAAGATACGCCAGACAGCTTCATTGGAGCTGATGTACCGGCCAATTTGGTAGCGCATTATTTCGTCGTTGTCACTCAATCGAGGAGCATTCCCATCGGTATTCTGAATTTGAAACACAGCCATATCGCTGCCTTTATTTACATACTTGCAAATGTATTTGATGGACTTCACCGAACTGCAGAACTCAACATTAATATGAGCATTGAATGTTTTGCTTAGCAGAGGCGAATATGGTACCACCCAACGATTGTCAATGTCAGTGTTTGCGTTGTTGATATTTAGCGTGAATGATTGTCCGCCATTATCAGTATTTCTTCGACGATATATTGGATATCCGTCGACGTGTGTGCTGGTGTCGTTGGTGAAATCTTTAGGAAAACGCTTTGTACATTTTCCATCTGCCATGCAAGGCGATGAACGATTCAGATCACCGCATGGGCCATGAATCATGTTTGGTGGTAACAATCTCGAACAGTACTTGATCAGTAGATGGATCTGGAATTTCTGCGGAAATTACACTATCGATTTCCTCAGGGCGTATTTTGTCTACTAACCAAATCAAAATGTGTGCATGAGGTAATCCTCGCTTTTGCCATTCAACCGAATACATAAAGCAACGTGTGGGACCGAATACGTGTAATTTTGTAATGAAGCTCATTAAAGACTTTAATTTTTGTTTGAAAACACGTGCTGTAATGTCATGACGATGAATTGCGTTTTGGCCTGGGAGTAGCAAAGATGTAATCTCCTGCCACTTTGGATTACATGTAAACGTGACAAATAAACACGGTCGTCCGCACTCGCGCACGAAAGTCATAGCATCCTGTATGTATTCTTGCATATGACGTGGACTGCCTACGTACGATGATGGTAGAATGATGGAGTTACCGATCTCGGCGGTGTCGGCATTGCTCATGATAGCGTCTCGCAAGTGAATGTATTCCTCCGCACGCAGCTTCTGTTGATTGTGTCGTAGGAATCGAAGTCGTTCGCTCTCTATCTTCGTGTACATGTCGACCATGAATTGTTGGCACAGCTCACGACATCGCAGAATGACGTTGTTCTGACCGTGTCGAATCATCAACCGGTACGCATACAAATCCATCGAGCTCACTTTCTTGTTTGTTTCGGCTCCTGTAATAACATATTTATAAGTGTTAATTCAAAATGAGTAATGATGTTTCTAATGAATGAAGTACCAGTGGCGGGATCTCGTTGTTTCATGTTTATGCAATATCCGTCTTGTCCCTTCCAGAAAATTAGCGGATATTGGAGAGCGTCGTATGAACGATGAGTGTCGGCGATGAACTCCAGATTATTGCTTCTTCTTCGAATCACAATTTCTCGCGACGCAGTGCGGTCGCCAACCATGATTCCAGCGACGTCTTCAATAACAGGCGCATTGAATCTACGGACGTGCTCTCCTACCGGTGTTTTATCAGGATTGATGACAATGGCGTGATTGTCACTTTGCAATTCGTGCATGTGTGATTTGAAGAATTTCAATAATTCATTATGCTCATTCAATAGGGCATCCAGTTCGCCGACGATGCGCCTGGCTTTAAGCGAATTGAGGTTATTATAGCCGCAGCGTGCATCCACGCGATTTGCGATTGCGAGTTCGGGGTCCACACGATTGATGTCCCCACCGCCCATGAAATAGATTTGTAAAAATTTATGTGGTTCGTTTGGCATAGGCAGCAATGAGCCCACTTTATGGTACACCTGGCCTTTGATTTTGAAAGTTGAATTGAATTGTTGACCATTTGCTGCAGTATTGTAAACTATTTCTGTTGCTCCGAACGACGTCATTTGGAAGCATGAATTGAATGTGCGGATGGACTTAAGGAACAGGTTTGAATCTGGATCCGTGCCGATGAGCAAACCGTTCAATGGTTCTGGTGGTGTCTCAATTTCTGGTAGTTTCACTTTTCCTGATGCGCAACACATGCCAGCTGACTCATGTTTGAATTTGAGCGCATGACAATGAGGACATTCTTTTTCCATAGCGCCAATCACCACTTTCGGATGAGCGGAGTAATCAATATCTGGCTCGTACTGGAACGCGAGACGAAGGAATGAAGCAGATGTAAATGCTCGATGCATTTGTTGGCGTCGTCGGTCATTTGCTCTGAGTGTGTCAATTACAAACCGGCGCATTTGACTCCGTTCCAATTGTCGTTGTTGATTTCGTTCAGCTCGTGCCTCTTGTGATTGAGATGTACGCAATTGCGATATGCTCACACGCACAATTTCGTTGTCCTGTTGGATTTGTTCGTCTGTTCTTTGTGCTCTAATACTTCGCATGTTTGTTGCTTTATTCATTATACGGTCCAGATAGGCACCCTTGCGTCTTGCTGGCATTGTTCACTGTAGCACACACACAAATATACCAAAATTTTGTACTTACTGATGAAAACCGTTAAGCCGATAATGTATTTGTTCTTTTAGTATTTTACCAAACTTTCACAGTCACAAAACACGTATATATTTGTTGAATTAAAATAAATTTATTGAATTAAATATATTTTGCACGCACTACGCTGTTACACATAAGAAATACAAAATGAAATATCAAAGTGACGCGATACTTCACGTCAATTCAACTACATAAATAATTTCGTTCTGTTTGAAAAACGAACGACGGTAAATTTATTTGGATATTGTTCATACAAAAATACTAAAAAATGTAAAAGAAAAAAATAGAGACAATTTTTTTGGATAGGGATACCCTAATCACCAAGTCCCAGTACTCTATCGTGAACACTGCCAGAGGTATGCAGTATGAAAAATTCGGTTTGTATGGGAGGTGCCACGCCCTTTTTTCCAATAGCCCCAATTTTTCTTCATGACTATGCGATTGGTTTCTTATATCTCCATACCATGTTCGAGTGCTCTACTATGAAGACTTCCAGAGATATGCAGTAGGAAAAATTCGGTATGTATGGGAGGTGCCACGACCCCTTTTCCAATAACCACAATTTTTATCCATGAGTATGCGATTGGTTTCATATATCTTCATACCATGTTCGAGTACTCTACCATGAACACTTCCAGAGATATGCAGAAGGAAAAATTCGGTTTGTATGGGAGGCCCCACGCCCCCTTTTCCAATAACCACAATTTTTCTCCATGAGTATGCG